GAGAAGTAAAATTTAACAGCTTACAAAAATAATGATCAACTTCTTTCGAGTATCTAAAGCAAGGGCTCTACTACCGTACTAACATATCCCTACTCTGTTTACCAAGGAGTTAAGCCTATCTCGCTGGCACTGATATTCAGCCCTAAATATGATTTAATGATACTTCGACTGCAGTTCTCTCTCTCAATGATGCATCATTCACAGAAACACACTTCAATAATTTTTGCACAGCCCTATTCATTTACACGCCTGTTTTGTAGCTTATTAATATATATTTCTTTTTAACGACTAAAAACGTAGTTTTCGTACGCCTAACGTAACAATATGAACCTATCTATCAAACTTGTAACACAACTGCGACAACAATAGCTTGACTACACACAATATAAGTAATGGGAAGATTTGACAGCTCCACATTGGTTATAACCAGGCTTAGTCTAACATTTTTAAAGGAGAATAATTTGAGGTGATACCAAGTTGTGTTCTAAGTGCGTGAAACCGTAACAATAATAATGAAAAAATTTAGTATTTTTCGTAAAAGCGTGCCTACTCAAACTAGGGAGAAGAAACACGCGTAAAATAATAATAAAGTCAGTATGTTTAGGACATTTTTGTTATTTTTCATTCAAAAGATCTGGATTAAATTTTCCTTCAGTTCTTACAATCACAACATCCAAGCTTAAAATTTACTTGACAAACTGAAGAAAACCATTCACTTCCATTTTTAGATGTACTTGTTACTCGAGACTCTCATGGACTGTCTACCTCTGTATACTGAAAGAAGACTTTTATAGGACTCCTTACTCAACATGACAGCTTCCTGCCTTAAAACTACAAACTTAACCTAGTTACTTACATGTCTCCTCTTACACAAACATTTAATATTTGCTCTAATTATTTAAAATTTCACTGGAGAATAATGTTTTATACAATCTGCTAATACATTATGAATACCAAAAACGAGTACTTTAAAAGTAAAACAAAACGTTCATGAGTAAAAGACGTGACAACTCCAGAAAAGTTATCCGCGGTTACTAAATGACCTATATATCTTATTGTACTTTTTACAGCACATTTTTTCTAAACAACTTAAAACCCTAATAAGGTTTTATTAGAGAGTTAAAATAAATGCAATCTTAAAACCACCTTTTAGGTCGAGCCATCTTTTTCATACGAAAGACCGTCAGCACAACTCCTTGCGTTAATGGGTAATTTATAAATATATATATATATATATATATATATATATATATGTATGTGTGTGTGCGGTGAATGTAAGAAAATATATCAGAAAAACTAAGCGCCATCTTTTCGTATGCATCTATCTGAGAATGTCCTATAAAACCAGTAATGTACTTTTCAATTCAATCTTCTTGGGCAATATGCAGTCAAGGAGAGAATACTAGACATCAATTCTAAGAAGTGTCAAAACAGACCAAAAACTTCTACTGAAAGAAAGTTTATTCATAAAAGGTTACTGCCTTCTTTTAAATCTATCACAGTCTTCTTTCATTCTGAACCTCTCGATTTGTTTAACCAAATCCATTGTTTCTTATAATTTATTTGATATATCAGAGCTAGACTCAAATTAGCAGAAATATATATGTTTTATTATAGTAAAGTACTGTACTATCTACATGCAGAGTAGTTATTAATGGTTAAATTATATTACTGATTTAAACAACAGTATATTATCTATTTCAACCATTGGCAATCATAAACGTACATGTATGCACTACAGAAATAACATGTTAGCATTCTTCTGGGGTGCTTTCCCATAAATTACTTACATACAGTTTCAAAGTGAATGATTATGTATTAAAGCTAGAGCACTCAGTCTTTCTTCGGTTTGTATACACGTCAGGTAATTATTCAAACTGCGGAGAGCAGATGCCGAACGTTCACATGAACATGAACTTAGTGGCAGTGTGGCAAAGAGTTTCAGTAACATAAAGATAGGTGGTACACTGAAGTGCGCTGGGATCTGTCCTGGAGAGGTATAGAAAATCACCTTGTCTTCTATCGATGAAGTTCTTCATAAAAATATCAGGATTTGGCAAATCTTCCCTGTAAAAATCTATAGCCTGTCTGATATCAGAGATAGAAAAATCTTGTATGAGTTTTGATTACACAAGTTTCTGAATTGATGTTGCTTGTTTTACATGTGCATCAAATCTGGAAGATTACTGATAATGTGGTCAAGAAAAGGAATAGTTACTGTTTTCTTAAAGTAATCCTCCGTTGACTAACTCGTGGCATGCTAACATTAATACCAGATGTATTTACAATATTACTGCTGTGCTTGAAGATACTATGTGAATAATGATCTACGTTCACTCTTAGTGAAGTCAGTTCTTTACAGGATTGTTCTATTAGAGAAACACTAGAAACTTTGGTTTGGACGTTATTTATTTACGTTATTGTTTATGAATCATACAAAAATAGGAGGTTCAGCTGCCCCCCCCCCCCGCGTACATGCGTGTATATAGGAATAATTTGATTCTACCATTGCATTACGTAAACTATGTCTTCTCTCCTAGTTCATATAACTAACCTTGTATTAAAAATAGTATGCCGTTGCTGATATTCAGGCTTCTCTCGTTTAGAACGTAACTTTGTATGAGCTCATATTAGCTTAATTTAAAAACCGTTAGTTTGCCTAATGATGACCAAAGCATGTTGGTCGAAACGACGCGCTACATTTATTTAAATATATACATCTCGAAGTTAATAAAATATGTATAATAGTTTGTTGTTGTTTTTCTCGTAAACATCTTGGATGGTATATTTATGAATAAAAATATTTCAAAGCATAGTTAAAAACGACAAAATATATCATGAAATATTTTATTTTATTTTTAACAACCCTTATAGTTCCATTAACTAGTCTTTGTAATGACCGTGCATTTCCTAGCTTTATTATTTTATAGTATAACTTTGTTGGTGAAAACTGAACCAGCTCGCACAAAAACACTTCAACACTCCTCCTATTTAGAGATCTTATATTAGAATAAAGGTTTACTACGAGAAAAATATCGTTCACGGAACAACATCAAAAACTTTCCACGTTCACAAAACGAAACTGACAATCATATAAGATAACATAGTATATGAACGACTGCGTTTAAAATATGATTCTTAACTAATGCTTTTCTGCTTAAAATCTTACATATATTTTTGCCATTTCACACATCTGTAACACTCAGATTACTTCCACTTCAATAATATAACTTGGCAAACAAAATCTATTTTAATTTATTCTCACTACCGACACACAGAAATGATATAACGATGTACAATTGGGTATTTTCTCTCATCTAATTAGTAAGTCTTGCTAAGTCTCTTGGGCAGCCAGTCTGTTACATTCTTATTAAGTAGTTTGTACAGATATTTACTTATCCAAACTAGGCACTTTCGCAAATTCGAACACAGTTTACAGCTGTCTTTGACACGCCTACAAAGATGCTGAATTCATGCCGAAAATTACAGTTTTGAAAGATGTTATGTAACACAAAAACATATACACACATGGTTTCTATACTTGTATTCATTGATTTTAGTCAATACAGCGCACTGAGTTTGGAACTTCGTCAATGTTTAACCAAAATAAAATACGTATTTATGCTAACTATTCCGATTTTTGTTGATTTTTTCAGTCTCTTCACAAGATCTGTATATATTGTATAGAAGAAGTAGAAAGGTTAACTTGTTAAGTTAGACCAGTAAAATATGATAGACGCAAAATGAAACATCAACATATCAGCGAAGCAAATGGAAGTTTCATATTTTTTATACTACATATAAAAATATTATTATGCATCCAAAAGTACCTTTCTCCATAACCTCTACAGTTACTTTTATAGAAATTTTCTATGCAATATAAAATAACAACCCTGATTAGAACCTTTGTATTCTGCGTAAGAAAATAACGTTCTTAGCAGCTCGACAAATGAACTTACGATTAAACAGTAATTTTTATTTATTCTAATTATATGCTTTTTGATAATTATTACTACCGTTAGAAACAGAAAAACAAGTCCTTATAAGCTAGTGTTGGTCCACTATAGTTTATTCCACCTAACACTCGTTAAAGCTATTTAAAAAAAACAACTGTTAAATATAAAGCACGTGACTAATGTAGGTTATAGCCATTAAAATTTACAGAAAGTCCAGGTATTATTAAGTTGTTTCACTCTTTTCAGTTTTAAGATGTCGTTTGTTTCACATGGTTGCCAAAGATCCAGAAAAAAATACAGCTCAATAGAGCAGGAATGATGCAAACCATGCGGTAATCACACTGCGCCCAAGCACAACAAGTGTCCAAGATGGCGGACAGGTACGTAAACTGTTAGAAGTATGCAGGAAACAAAGAACTTAGAAAGCGTGATGTACTCCAATAGACGATGGAAACGTAAACAGAACTTGTTGCTAAGCGGCCTGCGTGCGAACACTCAGCTGTTAACCTGACGACGTATTCATATACAAGAGTTTGGAATTTCTGTGAAACAAACAACAACTAAAAAAAAGCCAACATCATGGATATTCTGTGGTAGAGAAGCCAAGACTGCCAAGTGCATATGGAGCACGAGAAGTCAGAAGTAGGGCCCGGGGCAAACCCGTGGGTCAGACCGTTATGGAACGGGGCAAACCGAACGCGCAACGACGAACGTAGACCAGTCAGCTGGGCGGGCATCAAGAGCAAAATGCACTCGAGCATGCTTAAGAAAACACAAAACGATATATTTGGAGAGTACACAAACAATTTTGTCACATAACTGTTTATGTGTGAATTAAATTAAAAATTATTCATTATCCGCCTCGGCAAAGCAAAGTCCACGTCCGCTACCTGGGCTAGCCGGAAATGACCTGACGAAACACGAAAAGTATGTGAAAGATTCAAGCACCTACATTATTTACATTGTTGTCATTTCTTGTCGTTTAACTACCAATACACAGTCTTTTAAACCTTAATACAGTTAAGGTACAAAAACGTGACTTACCAATAAATAAACAAGACTTTGCTGCTAAGTTTGTTCAGCTTTTGGACGGCTTCGGTAGCTGATTTTGCAGCACTACGTCTACCCCTGGTATGCAAGGTATGGCACAAAGAATCTCCACAACGCGAGTTCCCATCGCGCAGCTTAAATGCGCAAGGGTGGAGAAAATTGTACGTAACATCCGCTAGACGCTTGTACATCGCGCGTCGGTCACCTGATGTGTGGCCCACGCTCGTGATAACAAAAATTGCGTTGCCCTATTAGTTTTAATCTGTGGATTATTTAACTAATTCGAGTTGTGTAAAGTTAGATAGTAAATGTAACTCTACACAGTCTTAATTTCATCAGTTCACCAAGTGTCATATCAGTAAGTTTAATATGAAAGCTAGACGGCAATAGCTGACTGAAATAAAGGATATCGCGTTGTGACATGACGTCATTTATTTATTTTTGTAAAATAAGGTATTGGTGTTTTCAACTTAACAGTTAAAATATACCCTATGCGATACATGGGCTAGACAGCCAGGTCAGAGACCCCAAAGTTCAGGCATAGCGAATGTCCTTAATCTGTAACTGGTAACCAGGAGGGAAATCAGTGAACAGAACCTGCCGCCTTTACCTTAATCGAATGTTGGGGGAGAGGAAGTGGAGTAGTAGCTTGTTTCTCACTTAATAATCGGCCATAACTGAATGTGCTAAGCGTGTTCAAGAGCATATCGCCGGCTCAAATCTTGAGCATTTTGATCTGCAGTGTAGCACGCTAATTCACCGCCATCTAAAATCAAACAAGAAGTTAATCCTAAGGAATTGGCGTTACTATAAAAATTCTGATTTAATACTGAATTTCAACGTTCGGGTTAAAATGTTCTACTTTTATGATATTCAAAACCATATTGTAATTGAAACATTGTTACCACTTTGCTGTGGCAAAATTTTTAAAATTTGCTTGTAAAGAGTTTTAAAAAAATTAAACTTCTCTTATTTTTCAGTTGTTATCAAATATTTTAAAGTTTTTCCTTGCATAAACTGCTTTTTTTTTATGTTATTTGTATTCTCGTTTACATCTAGAAGAACTTCGTTTGTTCTTAATTTTTTTTTAGCGTGACAAGCCCTCAGATTTACCGCTGAGCCACTGAGGAGCATCTAGAAGTAAAATCTGTGATATTGTTACGACAGCAGAAGTCATGTGACGCTGGGAGCATGCGCGCTGGAGTTTCTAGAAGGATCGTGAATTTGCCCGGCAACTCTAGTTTGATCGAGACGTCCTCTTTTTTTTATTATATAAGTCTGGCGAGGAAAGCCAGCGGGATTGAAGAGATAGA